AGGCAGCAGCACAATCATTATGAGTTCCTTTTCGTGGTCGTTAACACACAGGGTTACTCTTCCAGAGTGAATCCAAAGGCATACCTTCATGCACAGGTGAAGAATCGTAGTCGCACAGCAGAGCTTGTTAGTTGGAAACAAAAAAAAGATCAGAGATGGCCAAGTATGTTAGTCTGAGCTGGGCCAGAAGCTCTGTGATGGAATATGAAGGAAAAGAGGGAAGTTGAAAAAAGCAATCACCGCTTTACCTCAGTCATAGCTCAAACACAAAATGGCTAGTTGTTACCAAGTTTTCCGTTGTCAAAGATTTTTTTTTGAAAAAAACCTTTGCTTGAAATTTGCATTATTTAGAGCAGAGGCCCCCAAGCCCCCGGTCATGGAGTGGTACCAATCCGTGGCCTGTTAGAAACCGTGCTGCACAGCATGTGAGCAGTGGGCAAGCGAGCGTTATTGCCTGAGCTCCGCCGCCTGTCAGATCCGCAGCAGCATTAGATCGTCACGGGAGCACGAACCCTGTGATGAACTGTGCATAGGAGGGATCCAGGTTGCCTGCCCTTTATGAGAATATAATGCCTGATCATCTGAGGTCAAACAGTTTCGTCCTGAAACCAACCCCAACCTCGATCTATGGGAAAAACTGTCTCCACGAAACCAGTCCCTTGCGTCAAAAAGGGTGGGGACCACTGATTTAGACATCCAAGAAAATGATGGGAATGTTTGGCTGGGAAAATTGAGATCAAGTTTATTTTTTAAAAAATGAATTTCCTCATAGACTGGGTGCAGTGCTGCATGCCTGTAATCCTAGCTACTAGGGAGGCTGAGACGGAAGGATTGCTTGAAGCCAGGAGTTCAAGACCAGCCTTGGCAATATGGACCCCATCTCTAAAACAATCTTTTAAAAATTGTCTTCTCTGTTTTTGGATACAGAGTTTCACTCTGTCACTCATGCTGCAATGCAGTGGTATAATTATAGCTTACTGCAGCCTCTACCTCCCAGGCTCAAGTGATCCTCCCACCTCAGCCTTCCAAGCAGCTGAGACCACACAAGTGTACTACCACATCTGGCTAATTAAAAAAAAAAAAAATGTAGCGATAGGGTCTCACTATTTTATCTAGGCTAGTGTCAAACTCCTGGGCTCAAGTGATCCTCTTGCCTTAGCCTCCCAAACTGCTGTGATTACTGGCATGAGCCACTGCATCCTCCTTCTGGCAAAGAAAATTAATAGTCCTGGCACTATAAGAGATTTGGTATAAAAAGACTGAGACCAGAAATGGTAGGGTGGCAGCATTTGGGACTGTCACTCACCTCCAAGCTCCCCTTGGTCTCTGGAGAAGGATCATGGGGATTCTCTGCAGGTCTGTTCAGGATCTCATTAAAGAGACTAGTGGGTACCTAGCATTAGAGAGATTCTATAGCCTGAGGATGTGCCCAACTGTGATAAGAAAATGACTACTGACCAAAGCCAGTCTTTCACCCTCAGAATTTCAAAGACCAGTCCTTGGAGCAATAGCATCTTTCCAGAGCTGACACAGCACTGCATGCAGCAGTGCCACAGATATGAAAAGCAGAAATGTCCACGTGCAAATGACTGTGTGGAAAGAGAGGAGCGCAGTCCTCCCCTGCTCCCTTAAGCAACATAATTACTAGCTGAAATCTCTCTGTGAGGGTCCCCTAAGTGGCTGAGCCATTTCACTGGCCCATTAAATGAACACAAAAATTTGTTTGTAAGCTTAGGCCTTGGCCTGCCTCCACTGACCTTCTAAATATGGAAGACCTAGGCTAAATTCAAGATTTCTTTGGAAGGGTGTGGATTCCCCTGAATTGCTTCTCTACCAAAAAGTCACTGTATAAACACATTTGTGAAGATGTAGCTGCCACCATGAGCTGGTCAACTGCAGGATGGGGCGTCTCCAGGCTTATTTCAGAAAGACTGTGGTGCTCAACGAGAATCACTCCAAAGGCGGTGGAATGACCGCCAAGAGCATCCTAATGTCCCACAATCATGGGGACATTACGTTCAATGGCATGAAGAACATGTCAGCGGCCTCCAAAGGGACCAAGAAAGGCACCATCTACCTTACCCTTTCATCTTTCTTTCTTTCCAGAGGAAAGAATGCCCTGCAGTCCTGCGTCATGTCTTGTTTCTGTTTTTGTTTTTGTTTTGACGGAGTCTCGCTCTGTCGCCAGGCTGGAGTGCAGTGGCTCGATCTCGGCTCACTGTAACCTCTGCCTCCCGGGGTCAAGCGATTCTTCTGTTTCAGCCTCCCTAGTAGCTGGGACTACCGGCACGCGCCACCACGCCGGGCTAATTTGTGTATTTTCGGTGGAGACGGGGTTTCACCATGTTGGCCAGGATGGTCTCGATCTCTTGATCTCGTGATCCACCCACCTCGGCCTCCCAAAGTGCTAGGATTACAGGCGTGAGCCACCGCGCCCGGCCCCATGCCGTTTTATTTGGTGAAGGACTGTGAGATCGAGAGCCTGTGTTTGATACAAACCACATCAAGCGAAGAGCGAAAGCCAAGCCCGCGGTGACTGGGAAGGCTCTGCTTCCTGCGGTCCGCCTTCACGGCAGGGGGCGCCGCTGAGTCGGCACTGCGGATGCTCCCGGGGGCATACGGCCACTCTCACATGCCTGGCAGGACCTGTGCCTTTTCCCCGGCAGCCGCCAGTGGAATGTACCCCTGTCTTCCTGGCTGCCCTTCTCCACCGCCCGAGCCGGAGTTCTATCCAGGACCTCCCAAGATGGACAGGACCATGGGGTATGTGCGGCCCCCGCCACTGCCCTATCCCGGGCCCATGGAACGTCCGGTTAGCCCCGATGTCCCCTCCACTCGTGCACCGAAGCCAGGGCCGCAGAAGCAGCTGCCAGCACCTTTATAACCCAGGCAACCACACCACGTCTCCGTGCCCATGAAGCGGCCTCCACCACCTCCCTACTACCCGAGGGAAAATGAGAAAGCCCAGTAGACGCCTCCCACCTCCTGTCTCCTGCCTCCCTTCCTGTCCTTGTTTCCTACTCCTTCCCTCCGGGCTGGGGCTGGGGCTCGGGCTGGGGCTGGGTCTGGGGGAGGTGAGGGAGGGCGTCGTTCTTCCTTCAGGTCTGATCATAGTTACCAGGAAGGAGTGCTGGGGGCCAGTGGCTTCCCTGGCCTCGGGAGAGGCCCCGCCCAGCTTCCCAGCAGGCTCTGACCCCACCGCGCTGCTCAGCAGGCCTCCCTCATCTCTGGGGCTCTTGGGATCACAGGTGTCCCCCATGTTCCCGTTTCATTCTCGTGGTTTCTCCCTACACAGGGACTCTCTGGCCACCTTCTCCACTGCAGTCCGGCTCCCTTGGTCTGGCAGCCACTCTACACTCAGCCTCATGACCCCCTGAGACCAGCCAGGTGTCTTGCCCCAGACCCCCACCAGGTCTGGTTCACATTCCCTCCTCTTGTCTGTGCCTGGCCTGGAAAGCCCACCATGTACAGACCGTCAGCCCAGATTCCACTCAGCCAGGTTCTGGCCCCAGCCACTGTCACCCGCCCCTTCCCTGTCTGGGTCATGCTGTTGCCACTCCATGTGACTTTCCAGGCTGGAAAATGAGCTTCCAGGGCTTGGGTGGTGTCAGGGCAAGCCCGCTGAGGCTGGGGAGGAAGCCTCCCTGCTTTCTGCTAGTGCTTCTGGAATTTGCTTTCCCTTTCCTCTTTCTTCCCTCTAGAATGGGCTTCTTTACTGGAACTAGAGAAAATACCTATCTGTGCCGCTGTCGTGCCACCTGGGGGCTACTGGGTAGGTCGGGAACAGGGCTTCTGACCCTGCATGCTGGCTGGAGCTCCTCAGCCTACTGCTTCCCTATAAGCCTCATGCCCTCTGGATACACTAACATTTGCTCTAGTTCGTTCCTCCATTGGCCATGAAGTGAGGAGATGGTTATTTAAAGAGAATTCCCTATTTATTCTACAAAACATCCAGTTCATATATTAATGTGAAATAAATCCTGTTTGCACCTTGCTTTCTTGGCTGAAAATGTAAAATAGTGAAAATGAACAGGAAAAAAAAAGTAGGATGGCCCAACTCCTTTCTGCCTGAGAGTCATTGGATAATCGTCTCTGTGTCTTTGACTTTTTATCTGTAAAAGATTGCACTTAGGTCCTCCGTTTCATACGTGGGATGACAATAGGGGCAATTTGAACCATAAATCCTTAAAATCATTTAATTTTCAGCTTTTCTGCCATGTAATGCAACTACTACTTTATATATTTAGGCTACATGATACTTTTGTTTTTTGTTTTTGCTTGTTTGTTTGTTTTTGAGACAGAGTTTCGCTCTTGTTACCCAGGCTGGAGTGCAATGGCGTGATCTTGGCTCACCGCAACCTCCACCTCCTGGGTTCAAGCAATTCTCCTGCCTCAGCCTCCTGAGTAACTGGGACTACAGGCGTGTGCCGTCATGCCCAGCTAATTTTTGTATTTTTAGTAGAGACGAGATTTCACCATGTTGACCAGGATGGTCTCGATCTCTTGACCTCGTGTTCTACCCGCCTCAGCCTCCCAAAGTGCTGGGATTACAGGCTTGAGCCACCGCGCCCGGCCTGATACTTTTGAAGTAATTCAATATGACTCTTTCAAGAACAAGAAAATGTATCAGACAGCTTTTTGAGGCCATTTACGAATGGAGGCAAGATATGAGTTCAAGATTCAAGAGAGTATAAAGAGGCAAATAAATAACACCTTCCCCACTGTGTTACTAAACAATGAGAGAAATAAAAAGCATCACAGACAGGAGACAACAGTATCCACCTTCTTATCCTGATACAGGAGAATGTGGCTTATATCTGCAGGCAAGTTGGCTTCCTAACATAAAGCCTCAGAATGAAACAGACTTTCTGAGTGGGTCACGTTAGCTGGATCACAATTGGCTCCACACAAGGGAGCCTGCCCTGGAGAGCTTGGGGTGTGGAGAAGCAGGGTAAACTGTTTGCTTCCTATGGATCGCTAGTGTTCGAGAGCAGGAAGAGAGAAAGCAGCTGGGAAGTATGCTGTTTCTTCTTTCCAACTCATTCCCAGATAACCGATTATTCCTCCTCCCAGGGGAAGAGTGAAGGACAGAATGGAAAGAGGCCAGGAGCGTTGTGTTCTCTCCAAATGGAGGGAAACCTCTGGAATGGGGAAGAGGCATCTCCTAACATGGCGTGGTCCTAGAAGGCAACCGAGTGTTTTCGAGAAGACTTCGTATTTTTTATGCCACCGCTAGAGAAGGTATGTTATCTTGTCATCTATCACCCTTGGGACTTAGGCCAAGAAACTTGGTGTGCCGGGATTTTGCTAGGTCAGTTTTGGTGTTTTAAATCAATATGAGAAGAAGACATTTAACCAACTCACCCCAGTATAATTCTTGGATTTGTATTGCTTTGATATGTTCAAAGTTATTTATTATTTCCTGAATTTTGGAAGGCAGGACCACACTTATCAGGGTGACAGAAAGAAAAGCTTCATTCTAGATTTTAAGATAGCCACAATCCTCTTCAAAATTGTACTCACTTATATGTAACTTCAAAAACTGTTCACTTATTCACTCTTAAATTCATCTATTCAGTCATTACGCATGCATTTTAACATTCAATAAGAATTTATGAGATGTTTTTCACCTATGTGCCAGGTACTATACTAGTCAGAAGGAAAAGGAAGCCAATTCTGTGTATACAAAAGGTGCTAAAGGGACTCACATAGCCCTAAAAGAGCTAGGACACTATATTGGCCAGCACACCACCACATACCTATCTGCTTTAGACCCTTTAGATCCTGGTATGCACTGAAGGTTGCAGAAATGATACATAACCATCTTTACTTGATTTCTCCATATAAAGTGTATTATAACATTAGATATGTAACTTAGATATTTACATGTGTCTGAGAGATTTGTACAAGAATTTTCATAGCAGCTTTATTTAAAATGACCCCAAACTGCAAATGACCCAAATGTTCATGAACAGATTAATGGGATTGGCTAACACTCAGCGATAAGAAGAAACAAACTACTGATTACATGCAACAGATGAATCTCAAGATGAATCTGTTGTATGTTACCATTACAACATAGTAACACATACAAGCAGTAATACACACAGCAGAAGAAGCCAGATTAAAAGAACAGGAACTATCTGATTCTACTGCGTGAAGTTGTAGAATAGGCCAAAATAAATTATAGTGAAAGAAATAACAGTGGTCACATCTGGAAGTAAGCAGTGGAGAGACAGACTACAAAGGGATATGAGGAAGCTTAGTGGGGTGATGGGAATGTTTTGTATTTTAATTGGGGTGTTTGTTACCCAGCTGTGTACATTCATCAAAGCTCACCAAATGACACATTTGCTGTACATGCATTTAATGCATAAAGTGTACCTAAAAATGTAAAGAAAAAGATACAAAGGTACAACTTGTTCAGAGAATAAAAGGTCAATTAAGCATATTTTTTTAAAAATGAAGCCTATCAGAAACATTTCAAATGCTTCTTGAATGATGCTTAAATAGGTCATGATTTATAATCTCCAGACACAGAATGTTTTTCTTCCTACTACCAAACTTTGTACCTTTAGGGAAAAAGTTTTATTACAGAAATGGAATATAATAGGAAAAATAAGCTGCTTCTTAAATATTTACCTTAATACATAAAGAAAACTAGGGACCGTCATAATTAGAACACATGTAAGTCTTTTTTACCTATGCATATAGGTAAATTGCATATAGGTAAAATTATATGCTGACGGCATATAATTTTAGGTGATAGTAACTGCCATTGTGTTTGAGTTTGTGAGTGTGTGTGGAGAAATAACAGAAGGAAAGAGGGGAAGCAACATTAGTGTGATTTGAAGAACTGGATGAAGTTATTTCAGTACTGTCAAATTATCATTTATAAAAAGAAGATATATTATTGGTTATTTTCATGTATATTAATTGACATTCAAGCCATCTGTATCATTTACTCATATATATTTAATGGGGATCATAAATATCCCTCTGCCAGCTAGGAAAGAGCATCTATCAGGAGAGGTGACAGTCTTGGGGCTATTACTCAATGACTTGGTAGTAAAGGATGAGCATTTTCTTGAGGTTATTAGAGTTGGATTTTAAACTTCTTATGTAGTAATGTTTATAGTAAGTATAAACATATAAACCACATTGTTTTAATGGATTTTTAAAACCTCCTACCAAAAAAAAAATCCACTTTAAATGTAGTGAATGCTAACCTATGAAATGAAGTTGATTTCATAAGCCATAGTGAGCTTTTGAGCTGTAAATCATATACTCTGTCCTAGAACACTAGTCCAATTTTAGTAGACCCGGAAATAAAAATGGAAATTGTTATTGGCCCATTCAGCTCCCATGTAACAACTTTTTTTTTTTTCTAGAAATGTAGTTGTACACACATTTCTTGGGAGGGATAGAAGAGTTTCATTCCTGACATTGTCAGTCAACTTTCATTGGGATAGTTGTGTCCATGTGTCACAGTCACAAGCACTATCAAAAGGGGCTTTGAAATGAAATTGTATATTAAAAAGGAAAGCCTGGGGTGATTTGATGTGTTTCAGTTCAGCCAGGGAATGGAAAGGGAGAAGCGTGTCCTGGGCCCAGGAAACCTCCTGAGTGCCCCATGTCAACCTGCTCCATGTTAATTTGTTTGGTTAATGTCCTGGGAGGCTTCTGGGTCACAGAGGACTGTCAATTCACTTCAATGGTGGCCAGCAGGATTCTCTGTTTTCATATGCCGGAGCAGACATATTTCTTACGAAAGACAAAAGTCTAGATGTAATACCATTCTCCCCACTGTCTGGAATCATTTCCTTGAGTGTATGCTTCTAGTTCTCTGGTCTGCAAACAGGACTTAACGGTGGGAGACCACCATTTTAAGCAACTAGAAAAAACAAGGGCCAGTCTTCCTTTGGCCCGATTGCAGAGCATTCACTTATATCCTTTGTATAGTTTCTGACATTCACCTTTCTGACATTCTGCCTCGAAGAGAGTTGGAATCTGTGTCTTTAAGAATGAGGACAGTTTGAGGCTTGGTGAGAAGAATAGATAAATGACCCCTCTCTTCCGATTTGAACTCTGAGTTCAGAATTAGCAGTTCAGATGTGACTGGCTGGTGTCAGATTGCTTCTGAGCCCTGCCGGTACATTGGAATCGTCTGGGGAGCTTTTAAAAAATTACCGATGTCCAGGCCCCACCCCTAGAGAGCTCATTTAATTGGTCCAGGGTGGAGCTTGGACACCAGTAATTTTTTTAAAAGCTCCCCAGGTGATCTTAATGTGTACCAGGGTTGAAAACTACTGGTTTACAGCAAAATAGTTTCAGTCATAGAACAGTAGCAAAAAAAAGGGGGCTGGAGATTGAGTGCGGTAAAGAACGAGAAGGTTCGTGCGGCTTCTGTAACTCTAGCAAACACCCACAGCAAGGATCTGGAGATGCAAACACGAATCAGGCAGGGCTATGCTCCAGGGGCTCATGGACAGTGAGGGAGGAAGACGTAAACCCAGCGCTGCAGTAGAGGGTGGTAGGTGCTGGCCTAGTGGGGATGGGAAGGGGCACAAGATTTGGCTTGCAAGCCAGAGGGATGTGAAGCCTCCCTGGGCATTAGCCAAGCAAAAGCTAAAAGAATTACTCTTACTTAACTGAGTCACACCTTAAATACTCGACTTATACATTATTCCTTAATCTGATCCTCACAACCACCTTGGGAAGGTAGTTTAGTGACATTCCACAGAGGAGGAAGAGGAAATCCAGAGATGTTAAGGATGTGACCTACAGTCCACAGCAGTGGAGGAGAGATGGCAATTAATCCTAATAGGCATGGCCTCACCCACTCCTTACCGGACAGCCCTGTAAAATAAGCGTGACTGCTACTTCCTTTTATAGATGTGCAAACTGAGGCTCAAACTGTTTAAGCAACCTGCTCAAGAGTAAGCTAGCATTTCCCAAGTGCCAAAGCAGGGTATATTCATTTTCTATTGGCACTGTAACAGAGCACTAAAAACTTTGTGGTTTAAAAATAGCACAAATGCATTTTCTCAAAGTCCAGGGAGGTCAGAAGTCTAAAATGGGTTGTCAGGGCTGGTTCTTTCTGAAGGCTCTAAGGGAGAATTTACTCCGTTTTCTCTTCCAGCTTTTAGAGGCTGCCTGCCTTCCTTGGCTCATGGCCCCTTCCTCTATCTTCAGAACTGGCAGCATAGCATCTTCAGGGCTCTCTCTGACCTCTGCTTCCATTGTTCCATCTCCATCTTTTACTCTGACTCTTCTGCATCCCCCTTTTCCCTCAAAAGAACCCAGGTGATTTGACAGGACACAACCAGATAAGTCAAGACAATCTCCTAGCTCAGTATTGTTTTTTTTTTCTCATTAAATCTTTTAAAATGTTTTCTTATTTCCATAGGCTTTTGGGGAACAAGTAGTTTTGGTTACATGAGTAAGTTCTTTAGTTTTGGTTTGTAAGATTTTGGTGCACCCATCACCCAAGCAATATACACTGAACCCAATTTGTAGTCTTTTATCCCTCACCCCCTCCCACCCTTTCCTCCGAGTCCCCAGAGTCCATTGTATCATTCTTATGCTTTTGGATCCTCATACCTTAGCTCCCACTTATGAATGAGAACACATAGTGTTTGGTTTTCCATTCCTGAGTTACTTCACTTAGAATCATAGTCTCCAGTGCCATCCAGGTTGCTGCAAATGTCATTAATTCATTCCTTTTTATGGCTGAGTAGTATTCCTTCGTGTGTGTGTGTGTGTGTGCACGTGTATACACATATATATCACAATTGTTTTTAATATGGCATTTCACTCTTGTCACCCAGGCTGGAGTGCAGTGGAGTGATCTTGGCTCACAGCAACCTCTGCCTGCCAGGTTCAAGTGATTGTCCTGTCCCCGAGTTGCTGGGATTATAGGTGCCTGCCACCACACCTAGCTAATTTTTTTTGTATTTTTAGTAGAGAGGGTGTTTTCACCATGTTGGCCAGGCTGGTTTCGAACTTCTCACCTTAAGTGATCTGCCCACTTCAGGCTCCCAAAGTACTAAGATTACAGGCATGAGCCACTGTGCCCAGCCCGCAGTTTCTTTATCCACTCATTGATCAGTGTTTTTTTTTGGGCTATTTCCATATTTTTGCAGTTGCATATTGTGCTGCTATAAACATGTGTGTGCAAGTATCTTTTTCGACAGGGACTTCTTTTCCTCTGGTAGATACCCAGTAGTGGGATTGCTGGA